GGGGGGGGGGGGGCCATGGGGGGAAGGGACGAGCGGCCAGTCCAGGTGCTTGGGGGCGAAATCCTGCTGCCTTTCCAGCCCCTGCCATGGCAGAGCAATAAACCCTCGCTGAACCTTTTGCATCCGTTGGCTTTTATTACCACCAGCCCCAGGAGCGAGTGAATTTTCCAGCCTTGAGAGCCACCGTGAGCTGCTTGGTTTGCCTCATGCCCTTTGCAACGGTCCAGCCCGGCCAAGGCGTATAGCAGCTGATAAATCCCTGCGGAAGGGGCTGCGAGAGGCAAGGAGCCTTCTGTGGAAAAGGGAGGGCAAGCCAGCACCACAGTCCCCTTGCCCAGGAAGCAAGCACGGACCCAGCCATCGCGTAGTTACCCAGTCCCTTTCTGTCAGTGGAAAAGCTGCCGTAAGATGCTCCACGTGCCACACGTGGCTCTTTCTCCCCTTGTGTTTGTATAGCTGTGTGTGGGGCTCACCTTTGGGCTGATGGGCTCCAACTCGGCTCAAGCGGTGTGTTGGGTACCAGGGGTGCGCTTACTAGGTTTGCAGCACAGCCTTGCAAACGGTTGTACGAGCGCAGCTGGGGATGGAAAGGGTTGGGAAGTACTTAGGTTGGTTTCTTTATAGAATAAAACGTGTTGTGTGGCTGTGATATTCTGTAACTCCTGGTTTGGCCCGGGCACAGACGTTCCATCTTGGAGCCTACCTTCTAGGCATCGTTTTTCTGAGGGAGGAGCACTTTGGCCACAGAGGACGTGGGGCTGCTGTGGGGCTGAGCTCTGTATTGTTCTCACACACCTCTCCTGGACAGGTTGGGTTACGCTGTGTAGTCAGCAGTGTGCACAGCAGCTGGAAGAGGAGTGTTGGAGATTAAAGTGCCCATGCCCCTGTGGTGAGACTTTTGAAATCCCTTCTTTTGAAGCTCTTCTGTATTTTATAAAATATTTCACTGTTTGCTGGGGCAGGGAGACAGACAGGAAGGGTGACGTCTCCTTAGCTGCTGGGGCATTCAAAGGGATAAGGGAGAACCTGATCTTGTTTCATCTCCCAATGTGCTGGCTTCTATGGAGGGACTAAAGTGTTCTCACACAAGGTAAACTATTAGGAGATAACTGGATGTTTGGACCACTTGAAACTGAACTGTTTCCCATCCAGGCTG